ATATGTATAAGTTCTTTTGATTATACATTTTGAATTTCATATCTTTCAGAATATCTTTTGTGAGCATTTTTTCGCATATAAATATGGTACCAATTATTCCCGATCAAAGGGAATATAAAAAAAGAATTGAAATTCTAGTTTGAATTATTAAATAAGAAGAAAAAGGCAAAAGAAAAACAACAAATAAGAGAATGAGTATAATCACTATCCGGTTCATGGGCCAAGTGGGATTGCGGTCTCCACCACTAGCTATTATACGGTCCACGTTTAAACCGGTCGAGCCGGAACGCGTAACCGATGTCGTATCACGCAGCCTCAGGCCCTCAGGTATACAACTCACAAGATTTCATAGTTAATTAATCGAGTTCACAAGAATCACAATGACCTCCCACTTGTATATTGTTTTTGATAGTACATGGAATAAATTAGATTATTTTAAAATAAAAATTAAGCACATGATGCACATATAATTACTCGCTTTTGGGCAACACTGGGAACGGCTAAATATCTAGATAAGTTATATAAAAACAATTTTATTAATCATGGGTATCGAATTTATATACAACTATTGTCTGATGTCATACATTATAACAACAAAAAGATGACCTTTTCATCCACTAGATTAACTGTTTTTTGTGTCATTAACTAGTTTAATTCTTTCAAAATTCAAATGTTCAAAGAGTTACTTCATCATGATAATATAGGCTAACTATTATTCCTAATCTAGAGAGAAATGGTTCTATATAGAATGCTGATCGAATTTTAGTTAAGAACATAGAACCTCAAGACCAAAAAGTCAATTGTCGAAATTAATATTAAGACGCTAAATAATACTTAATATATAGTACCAAAATAATAAATCACATGTTTATATGTCAAAAGCAAAAAGAATATGACTAAAATAAAAATCTAATTGATAAAATTAACTGACATGTCACAAAAAATTAACGCATCGCACAACAATTAAATGATAGGGGGTACTACGGATAAATAAATCTACAGAGGGATCTAGTTAATATGCTATAGAAATATTTCTATTTCACACGTCTCGGTTTCGCAAAAGCTAAGGCTCTAATTGGCAAATAAACTTTTAAAGCTGTAAAGACTTTAGAAAAAATTAAAATTTTTAAAAATTATTAAGTATCCAATCAGACTTTATTGATTTAACAGTTTTTAAAGTAAATAAACTGCTCCTAAATTTCTCACAACTTTCTCTCTCTATTTTTTCACGTAATCTACACTTAAATTTTAAAAGCCTAAACATGTAGCTTTTAAAAAAAAAAAAAATCACAACCATTATTTTACAGCCAAAAATCATTAAAGTTACAGTCAAAAATTAAAATCTACAGCCACAGTCCTTTCCAATCAGACCCTAAATAACATTAGCATATCCGTTTAAAACTTCTAGTTGATAAATTAAATAATGTCTACGTAGACAAATAACACGTTAAAGAACATCTTACGGAAATACTCCTTCTGTTCAAAATTATTTGATGTTTTAGAAGGTTTTTTTTTTCAGAATTATTTGATGTTCTCACTTTTCAATGCAAAATTTAATGAATTTTTATAGTTTTTGACCTTTTATATTCTGCAGATTGTTTTTTTATTGGCTGAATGATATTTAAAAGAATTATAAATAATATTTTTAATATAGAAAAAATAAAATTTAAATGAATCCTTAAACTGTGTGCAAAAACCTTAAACATCAAATAATTCTGAACAGAGGAAGTATATGACACATTAAACAACAATTAAATGATAAGAGTACCCTCTAAAACGTGGTTTAGCCATTTTGTTAGGGACAAAGAAACCTATCATCATTATCTTAATAATCAGCATTTATATTTTCATCTAGTGTATATGGTATTTCTAATGGATGAGGTTTTTTTGGGTTTATAAAAGAGTTACTTGGTAATTTTGTAAATATATAAGAATATATGTACATATGAATCTAAGTGCTCTTTTTACTAATTATATTGATCATATTCGCAAGGGTAAGTGCGTGTACGTCTGACTGTGTGAAAAGGGGAGAGCTAAGTAAAAGATGCACACACATAGACACACCTTCACGACAAAAGATGCCGTGACGAAGTTGGGCCAAGGATTATGAGAATAATCAACACTTGTTTGGCATAGTGCCTTACATGCATCTATATATACAAATCACACACACTCCCTATAAAAAAAATACCATCTTTATTGGATAAATCCATCTCAAGTTTTTTTTTTTGTTTTGACAAAAAAATCCATCTCAAGTTGACGAGATTATATTGTGTAACTCCATGGTCAAGCCTCGTTCATGCTGTGTTCTCACCCTTGCCTATTATGACTTTAATTACATCTTTGTCATAGCTCTCTGGTTTGTAACTAAAAGTTAATGTCCCTATTCAGAAAAAAAAAATTGTTGACGAGAACCCTCGCAACGAATATTAATAAACGTGCTATTTACTATTGACTTGATATGGCTGTATATATATATATATATATATGTAACGACTAATGAATCACACATACACACACAAACACACACAAATATATGCATGCGTAACATAAGTAGAGTGTGGATGCTATTGAGCACATATATTATATATATGATATGACCATGCATACATGATCATGATAATGTCAAAGGTATGGGACAGTGGCTATACTTGGGAATGGCATGTTTTGATTCGAACCCACCCCAACAAGCACATAAACGAAAATGATAATTTTATATAATAAAAAGTTTTGTAATAATGTCCTTTGCGGAATTCTAATTCCAATATTCTCAATTATTGGCCACATAAAAGAATAAAGAATAGAAAAATGCCCATTTTCCAAATTCCCGAATTCAACAACTACGATGTTCGACTTCATATGGTGATAAGAATAAATTTCGTTTCACCATCTTTTCAGTATTTACTATTTCGGATCATATTGTCGTGATTTGATTTGTTACTGTAATTTGTCTTTCCTTGATTATTCCTCGTTGTGTTGCATTTCCCTACGAGTTAATAGACATACATTCTCACCTGCCAATACTTTTGTTTTTAGTGTATTGATTTGTGTTAATCGTGAAAGATCGAATATATGCTTATATATACATCAATCTAATTAAGTTATGGATGACATATCAACTTGCTGATTTTGGATTCTTGTAGGTCCATTCCAGCTCTAAGTGAAAGAAGCATAATCTATTCATGTAGTGTCGTATTGTTGATTAAATTAAAGATTGATTCTTGGTAGATTTTTTTGGGTCGAATTTGGTATATATATATATATATATATATATCACTCAAATATCTATATGAAAAGTCATATATCTTGAATTCAGCATTTGATTACTCATGAAAACCTACGGCATTAAAAAATCATATAAGGTTAGGTCAAAATCATTGAGTTGAGAAGACAAATAAGTTTCATTCACAATTTTTTTGATTAATATCTATAATTAAGCTATCCAATTTTTCAGTAATATAATTTCAGACTGTTCAGTGATGTCTTCTGTACAGAAGCTTAATGATATCTATTCATAATGACATCACTGATGACTGAACAATGTGAACACAAAGATTTGAATTACATGCATGGTTAATACTGGCATTAAAGTAGATTCATAAAACAAAATGAAAACTTATCCACATACTTTATGAATAGTAATAGTCGATTCTAAGATATTAAATCGGAGAAGACCAAACAAAACCTTATACATTCATTTAAAGTTCAATATAATTTAAACTATTGAAGTTTTAGTGATGCTCCATCTACTAGACTACTAACCAATAGAAATATATTTTTTTTTTTATTACATATACAAATGATATTGACTCGGATCCAAATATATAACTCATATTTGAAAAATAAAGAGCCAAGAGTTTTGTGGTTGGTTTTAGCAGCAGCAGGCGCCAGACGGCAGCCGCATGCAAGCGTGAACAAGACACCACTAAAACAAAGTGGAATCGGCTCGTACAATAAAACTCACCAAAATGTCAATTTGTTTTCCAAAAAAGTCTCCGCACATGCATATTGATTTTGTTAGGTTTTGTCGCGATCAAAATTCTATTTGATATACGTGTTGTCTTATGTATTAGGGTTTCTCATCTCCATATGCACCATATATATATAGATACATATATTCTCTTTTTTTTTAGTGTATAATGTGAACTATATCGGCTAACATAACTTTATGTATAGATTAAATTGTATGCTTAGTAGATTATAACGTATCCAAAACTAATGCTTTTAGTGTATCGTAACATTTTTTTGAAGGACGATGATTATTATCTGAAATTTTAAAACTGTTTTTTTTGTTACAAATTTTAAAACTGTTAATGAAATATAATGGTTGTCACAAATTAAAGTTTTCTTTAGTACAATGTATAGGCTGCAGTAGATTTCTTCCACATCATTCACAATTTCACCCAACAGAAGAAAAGAAAAGAAATTGTCGCAGTCAAAAAGGACCAAACCGGCCGAAGATTCCACCCAACCCAACACTGCAGAGACCACTTACCTTAACGTGAACTTACTAACATGTCGTGTGGCTCTTCTCTTTCCATGTTGCATCCTCTTAAATCATCACACTAAAGATTTGTTTCTTCCTTTTGCAGCTTCCTATCTTTCCCAAATTGCCCCCCACCAGAAACCAACTCTTTCAATTTTTACCCCTTTTTGTTTCAATTTGTGTGTCCAATCAATCAATTTTGTGTACACTTATATGGACTTTTCCCCAATATTTGTCGAATTGTAATCACACAGGTGGAAATGTGTTTACACTCTTCGACACCGAATCGGATTGAAAATTCTACCCAATCTTACATGTATGTGTGGGAGTGGGAACATCCAATTTAAGAATTGTTCAAACTTGTTGTAATTTAAGAAAGAGAAATAAAATATGTTTAAAAATACGTATATTGAAAAGTGTAAGATACTTGGGCTTTGTTTATAAGAAACAAAACAACTACGTCAAAGAATCAACAGGCTCATGAGAATAGTCCAAGCTCGCTGAAACCATATGGAAAAATGTGATCTGGAACCAATAATTAAAGCTTCGTTCTGCAGAATGGTGGAAGATTTGCAAAAAACAAAACCAGATACTACATAGGTTATGAATAACCAGATACTACATAGGTTATGAATCTAACTAAAGCTAAGAAAATAATTACAGAAATTTTACTCAGTAACGCTGTAACGGCTCACACAAAACGAGCCTTTCTTTCTCTTAACGTCCAAAGTCTTGGACCTTTTGGGTTTTCTCACCACAACAAAGACCTCCCTGAAACTCCTATTATTCCTATGATCATCCAAAACAAAGCACAAAGAGCTCCAATGATCGATAAGCAGAAGAAACCCTTGTGGTGGTTGTTTCCTCGACACTTCTTCCTCTTCGCTGCTGAATCGTTTTCAACATTGTTGTTACCTGTGCTTTTAGAAGCAAGCCTGTAACGACCACCACGGCTTGACATTCTGACTAAGTTCAGGTTAACAAATGGATTCTCTGAAGCAAACGCTGGTTTTGCAGGAATCGAGTCCAGGAAAGACCATATACTAGAAGCAAACTGACTCGACTCGCCTTTTGTCGCTTCTACCTCCTTAGTAATACTTACACCAGAAGTTAGAGGGTCTATGAATTCAAATGCATCACCTGCAAATGTAAGAAAAGATCCAAATGAAAACCAACCCAGAGGACATTTAGGGGGAGAATCTGTTATTGTTTACCTGTACCAGGCGCCTCACCAAACCGGGAAGCGGTAAGTCCATCACTGTTTAGCTCATGCATCCACGATCCACTGCTTATCTTTCTGGTATAGCTGTTACGAAGTGGCCAGTTGCTACCTTGGTTCTTCCCCGTCTGCTGCTGGAACTGGTTATTATTGGCCTGGTCAGTCACCGAAGAAGTATTCACCTCAAGACTATGTTCAAAACCATTTCCCAAACCAACACTGACAGGCTCTAGATGAGGACCTGTGGCGTCCAAATCACGGAAATATGAATCGACATCAAAGAAATCATTATCATTCAGGACACCGGACTCATCCTGGCCCCAGTTGTCCGCATAACTTGGTTCAGGTTCAGAGAGCAAAAGATCGTCGATCTCCAAATACGCATCTCTTGCCTGGTTCACCTGATTATACGTTTCCACGCTAGAGTTCACTCTGGACAGATTATTCTGCTGCACTGTTGACAATCTGACATGTCCAGGCTCCTCTCTGATCTGTCTCATCAGCTCTTCGATATCGTTATCATCCAATTCAGTTTGGTTAAGCCCGTTCGCCAATGCGCTATTGCCAATACCAGCTGAAGCAATGAGCTGATCAACAACATCATCATCATCATCTGCCCATTCTTCTTCTATAAAAGGAGCTCCATACTGCTCACCGTTCTTAGGACCAGACCCGCTCTTCTTATAAATCTTGTAAAGGACGAAACTTTCCTTCACATCTCCGCACCTCTTGAGCTCCTCTTCGTGCAAGGTGTACTCGTGCATGACCCAGTTAGTCCTCTCGCCATTAGGTGCCCTGCCTCTGTGGAAAACAAGCGTCTTCTTCTCTCCAACGGGGCGTGAACTGCACTTGATGACTCTGTCTTTCCCTGTTGCTTTCCAGTATCCACGGCCAGTCGCTCTGCTTGACCTACCTCCATGTTTCCTATCCCTCAGGCTGAAGAAGAACCATTGACGGTCCCTAGTCTTATATAACGCTTTTTCTGCATAATTCCAAAGTCCATTTTTCATGTATGTTCACTTACAGCAATCAATCGTATGAAATCACATATAAGGGGCTAAAAATCGATACTTTCAACTGTAATTTCATGGAAAACAGAGCAAATCATCCCAAATATTACAGGCAAAGCAAATGAGAATGGGAAAGGTACCGGGAAGCTCCTCGGGATCAAACTTGTAGACATCAGTCTCGCCGATTGCATCGACTCTCATTTTTTTCCGACGAATCTTTCTCTTGAGATAATACACAACCAGTTCCTCGTCGGTCGGATGAAACCTAAAACCTGGCGCTAGTTTAGCTCCGTTTGCAACCAGACATGAACCCGTCTTCAAAGACTCCATCACTCACACACAAAGAAGAAAACAATTGTTTCAGTGAGCAAATCAGAATCTGAGAACAGACCAAACTACAGGAAAGGGCGTTTTCCTTCCAATTGGATTGCTGCATACTTTATCATATTTTCTATTAATTTTTTTTATTAAATATTTATTATGGATTTGTTTTTTTTTTTTTTTTGCGTGGGGAGGAAGGTTTGGCTTCGTGAGGCGACAGATGGGACCTGCGAGGTGTACCTTCCTATTGTTGACTGCGTGGGATTTACGCGTTAAGGCTCATTAGATGGTGATAAAAGTGTGGGCTTGGTACAAGGAGAAAAGCCCATTGAAGCATCTAGAGAGACAAACAGTTTTGGTCCTAACTCCTTAGATATATAGCCAGCCACTTGTTTTTGTTTTCTCCAAATCCATTGTTTCTGCTTCAAATTCTTGAATTTTTTGTCGAATGGAAAATGAAGTTATACACTCTTGGAGATAAAGAACTCTCTTAATGGTTTGAAGAATGACAGTTTCACAAAATCTCTGTGATACCTTGAGAATTTGCATGATCTACCTTTGTCAGCTCTTTGGCTAGACTCTAGAGTTACATAGAGCTGGGGAATTTTAATAGATAAAACGAATGGAATGAACCGAATTTAACCAAAGTGTGACCGAGATATTTTAAAAAACAATAGATATTTTTCATTAAATAATTTAATGTTATCTAAAATATATTATTATAGCAAATAAACAAAAAAAAAAAGAAAGAAATAGCGAAGGAGCGTGAATGACTCGCATAAGACGTGGTTGGGGAAAGGAAGCAACAAATGTCGAGAGCCTAGTGGTGTAGACGTAAGCAAATTACGGGCAATGCAAACCAAAAAAGAGACTTGTTTACTTAAGGCGCTGATTCCATTAAAAAGGGCCAAAATAAATAACCAATAAAAATAAAAAAAAGAAAAAAATAATATTTTCAGTTACAGAGCCACAATCGTGTTCGACTCGAGGAAGGAGATACCAAAAAAAAAAAAAAAAAGTAAGCGACAGAGACGCCTGCTTGATCGCCGGCGTGCTGTGTCACTCCGGCCGAGTCTTTCACGTTTTATTTCGAGTACGCTCTCTTATCTTTAATCGATGACTCTGCGTTTTTTTTTTTTTTTTGATTTTGTTCAATTCAGATTTGTGTTTTACTTTCTCATGTTTTTGATCCAAGTAATCTTCGCGGAATCGATTCCTTTTCTTTTACTATTATCATGTTTTTGTTTTCTGCGGGGTTTCTACGCGATTCGAATGCATCGTTGGTAATTTCCGACTCTCTGCTCGTGGATCGATGAATTATATTGACCTAAATCCATTATTTGTTGTAGTTTTTAATTCCTGGGTATTGAATCCGTTTGCAAAACTTTCTTTTTACATTCGTCGTTGTGATTATTTGGTAAAGTTTTAATCTTTGCGGGTGATTGATTTGAATTGGAGATTTCTTACTTGAAAATTGGCACACACACACCCAAGAAAAAAGAGAAGGAATTGAGTCGTAGAGTGTGCTTCTTTTTCGTGATGGCTTTTTTTTTTTTTTTTTTCATATAGCAAAATCGCAGGTTTTAATGGCTTTACTAGTTACTTTGTTCTTGATACTGACTCCTTTTTTTGTGTGGGAAATTGGACCACAACAAAACATTTATTTCCAGCTGACTATGGTGATTGATTAATCGTGGGACAAACGAAAGTTGAGGAATTGGAGGGATTCGGAATTCAGATGGAGTTCAACAAGCAGCAAGATCTTGTAGAGTCTTCTATGGAACAAACGGATCCTCTCTGCATTTCTCAATTGAAAATATCTTCTTCTTCCTCTCTCGAGGCCCCAGGATCGCCATTGCCACAGGCCAAGATGTCAGAGGATTTGTTAAAGAGTCATAGACATTCTGTTTGTTCTAAAGACGGTCTCCCTTCAAAAGGTATAGCCTTTGCCAATTCTAATTACTCTGGATATTGGTATCCTTATGTTTCTTGTGAGATGGTTGTAAAATTTTCTCACTATGCTGCAGTGGAAGGGAGCCAAGAAACTTGGGAAGAGTCGCTTGGTGTAGAAGATGATCACCCCACTGACCCAAATTGTGACATCATTGAGGTATATCATTGACTGGATTCCTTGTGCTCCCGATTCCTTTATCAATATAGATCCAAACTGATAACTTTTGGTGGAAACCAGGGCAATGGGCATTCAGATTCATCAAGCTTCGATGCAGATTTAAGTGAGTACAAAAAAAAGGCCACGATAATTGTCGAGGAATACTTTAGCACCAATGATGTTGTATCAGTTGCTAATGAGCTCAAGGAGCTTGGAATGGCTGAATACCGTTATTATTTTGTCAAGAAATTAGTCTCCATGGCTATGGATAGACATGACAAGGAGAAAGAAATGGCTGCTTTTCTGTTGTCTACGCTTTATGCTGATGTTATTGATCCCCCAGAAGTTTACAGGGGTTTCAACAAGCTGGTGGCTTCTGCTGATGATCTATCCGTAGATATTCCGGATGCAGTTGATGTTCTTGCTGTGTTTGTGGCTCGGGCAATTGTTGACGACATTCTTCCGCCAGCGTTCCTGAAGAAACAAATGAATTTGTTGCCAGATGACTCCAAAGGTGTAGAGGTGTTGAAAAAGGCTGAGAAGAGCTATCTTGCAACTCCGCTTCACGCTGAAGTTGTTGAGAAGAGATGGGGAGGGACTGATAATTGGACTGCTGAAGATGTGAAAGGAAGAATAAATGACTTGTTGAAAGAGTATGTGATGAGTGGAGATAAGAAAGAGGCTTTTAGATGCATTAAAGGATTGAAAGTTCCGTTTTTTCATCATGAGATTGTCAAACGGGCGCTGATAATGGCAATGGAAAGGCAAAAGGCCCAAGTTAGGCTGCTAGATTTGTTGAAAGAAGCAATTGAGGTTGGTCTCATAAACTCCACTCAAGTGACCAAAGGGTTTAGCAGAATCATCGATTCAATTGAAGATTTGTCTCTTGACATACCAGAGGCACGCTGTATATTACAGTCTTTCATCTCAAAAGCGGCTTCTGAAGGATGGTTATGTGCTTCTTCTCTGAAATCTCTCTCCGCTGATCCAGGTGAAAAGTCACTTGAAAACTCCAGCGCCAATGAATTTAAAGACAAGGCTAAGTCGATCGTTCGAGAATATTTCCTCTCAGGTGACACTTCAGAGGTCGTACATTGTCTAGAAACCGAGCTGAGTGCATCTTCGGGTCAGCTACGGGCAATCTTTGTTAAGTATCTGATAACTTTAGCGATGGATAGAAAGAAAAGAGAGAAAGAGATGGCTTGTGTTCTTGTCTCGTCACTTGGTTTCCCTCCCAAAGATGTCAGAAAGGCATTCTCGATGCTCATAGAATCTGCAGACGACACTGCTCTAGACAACCCAGTGGTCGTTGAAGACCTTGCCATGTTCTTGGCCAGAGCTGTGGTCGACGAGGTCTTAGCTCCACGGGATTTAGAAGAACTGTTAAACCAGACTCCCGAGCCGGGTTCAACCGCCGGGGAAAAAGTGATTCAAATGGCGAAAACATTGCTGAAAGCACGTCTTTCGGGTGAAAGGATCTTACGCTGCTGGGGAGGAGGAGGAATTGAAACAAACTCGCCGGGTGCCACTGTGACCGAAGTAAAAGAGAAGATTCAAGTTATCCTGGAAGAGTATGTATCTGGTGGAGACCTGAAAGAAGCTTGTAGGTGCGTGAAGGAACTGGGAATGCCGTTTTTCCACCACGAAGTTGTGAAGAAGTCAGTGGTGAGGATCATAGAAGAGAAAGAGAAGAAGGAGCGACTATGGAAGCTACTGAAAGTGTGTTTTGAATCGGGACTAGTGACAATTTATCAGATGACCAAAGGGTTTAAAAGAGTCAGTGAGTCGCTTGAGGATCTGTCTTTGGATGTCCCTGATGCTGCGGAAAAGTTTTCTAGTTGCGTCGAAAGTGCCAAGCTTGAAGGGTTCTTGGACGAATCATTTGCTGTTGAGGAAACACACGAGAATGGCTCTCGTCTTCGTTTGGATACTGATGATGATGTACCAACCTGAACCTCTTGACTCTATACGTTTGGTTTGACGCAAAATCATCTTTTGAATTCGTTTTTTTTTTTGCTTTACTAAAAGTTTTGGTACTTTGATGATGATCTTACAGAAATCGTCTCATCTTAGTGACGTTTTGTTTAACAATATTCACTCTTTTTGTTTTCTCTTTAATACTATAAAATTATGACCTGTTTCTTTTTCTTTTTGTTTCTTTGTCATCGCAGATATCTCTGTACTTTTTTGTTTCTTAGTTTGATTTTCTTTCGACCATTTTCTCCTCTTTAGTAGTGTTTAACAATAAAACAGAAAATTTTGATAAGGACTTCTTCATTTTATTCTTATAGATGGTGATCTCAATTAATCTTGTGACAGTTTTACTACACAAGAATTAACAGTGGAATAAAAAATGGCGTCGGCCAAGAATGTGTCCTCTCTCTCTCTCTTTAAAGCTGGATAAACCCCACGAGTCTCCCTATCCCATCAATTTCCTTTTCTTATGAAAAAAGGAGGAATTATTTCTATTTATGAAACAAATACAGTAGATCCAAATTGGCGCTCCTTTTTTTTTTTTTTACTTTTCTCTTCTCTGCTTTCTCGAATCGGAAGAACAGAGAGCTCGTATATATACGGTGAACATGTCGATTCGAAGACGAACTCTGCTCAAGGTTATCGTCCTTGGAGATAGCGGGTTAGCTAATTTCACTTTTATACCTTCCTAACTTCATTAACTGTGATAAAAATACGAACTTTTTACCTGCTGGATCATTCTCTTACTCCATTTTTTTCCCCTCGAATTTCTCAGGGTTGGAAAAACATCGTTGATGAATCAGTATCCTCACTAGAGTTATACGACTTTTTCTCTCACTTTTCTATTTTTAGGATTCTGGGTTTCTTTTTAATTCGACTTTTTGCCAAAAATTTCAACTTTTGCCAAAAATAATGTTTGGAGCAGTCGCTTTCGGGCTATCTGGTATGGATTATCTGTGAAGACCTTAGCAGGTTTCTGTGTAGATATGTGAATAACAAGTTTAGTCAACAGTACAAAGCCACGATCGGAGCTGATTTTGTCACCAAGGAGCTTCAAATCGATGACCGGCTCGTCACATTGCAAGTGTGTTTCTTTTACTTGATCACTGCTTGTTTTTTTTGTTTTGTTTTGTTTTATCATTGTCTATGTGTGTTCTTTAGATTTGGGACACTGCTGGGCAAGAGAGGTTCCAGAGTCTTGGTATTGCATTCTATAGAGGTGCAGATTGCTGTGTGCTTGTTTATGATGTCAATCACCTAAAGTCGTTTGATTCTCTCGACAATTGGCACGAAGAGTTTCTTAAGCAGGTTCTTTCTTTTAGCTTTCTTCTCCAATTGGCTCTACTTCTCTTTTGGTTTTAGTTTTTTTTTTTTAATTGTCTGCAAGAAAGATTCTTCTTCTGTGACTGAATTGTTTGTGAATGCTTTCTTCGTTTCCCCAGGCTAGCCCACGGGATCCAACGGCATTCCCTTTCATATTGCTTGGTAACAAGGTTGATATTGATGGAGGAAATAGCCGAGTGGTAAGTAAAGAACTTAGCTTTTAGTAGACAAAATTAAGAAACTTGAATTGAGAACTGAGAAGATGAGCAACCAGTCATCAAGTTCAAAGGGATATGACTGATATAATACGGATACTGTAGCAGTGTGGAGTTTATTAGTAAGTGCATATATTTCCTTGTGGGTATTAATTTAATAAACCTCAGGTATCTGAGAAGAAAGCAAGAGCATGGTGTGCTGAAAAGGGAAACATACTCTATTTCGAGACATCGGCTAAAGAAGATTACAATGTAGATGACTCGTTCTTGTGCATCACAAACTTGCCCTAGCGAATGAGCGCGACCAAGATATGTACGTGGATCAGTATCACCAAAACTTTCCCGTTGAAACTCAACATGTAAAACAAGAAATCTCAATCCTTTTTTTTTTGTGGCAATTATGGCAGATATTTCCAGGGGATTCCAGAGTCTGAGCCTGAGCAAAGAGGAGGATGTGCTTGTTGATTGCTGAAGATGCAGCTCTTGCTCTGTTGATTTGTGCATTTGTTGCTTTTTTTTTTGTTGTTGTTGTTGTGTGTGTGTGTCAGTGTTTGTGTGTCTATAAAACTCTGCAAGTGTTGTAAATTTTGAAAATCTTTTCTATGTATCAAAGGCTCTGTAATTCATTTGGAGCTAAACCGAATCCGGTTCAGTCTGCAAAATCAGTACCAATCTAGCGGTTCAGTGAAGGACGTGGCGCTTCCTTTCCCACTTGTTTGGGTCCTTTGGAATTCCCTCGATCATCATCATCATCAATCAATCAATCCCTGCGATTTCTCGTCTCGTCTCTCCCTCTCTCTCGGTGTGTGTTAACAATGGCGACGACTAGATTAGTCACCGGACTAAAAGTGTTTTTACCGGTTATGTTCTGCGTCATGCTCGCGACACTTATCTACACTATCATTACCGATGGCCTTCCCTTACCTGACCGTCGAGATGTCTTCACACCGTAAAAACTCGACTCTCTCTCTCATGACGCTTCATTTGCACAATCACCGAGACACATATATGCCTGTGTCTTTGTATTTACTCATGTTCGTTCATTGCGCTTTAGATGGTTCGCTACGACGATTTTGGATTTCTACATCAACATTGTTCCTATTGCGGTATGTTTTAATTCCAGATCCTCCGCTAATTTCTCTACGTAAGCCATTCTTCCACATTTTGATGATGTTCAATTCTCAGGTCTGGATTGTGTACAAGGAATCGACATGGTTTGGTTCTATACTCTGGGCAATTTTGCTAATAATATTTGGCAGGTACTTTCATAAAAACATCAATATTAGGTCCATGGACGAACATAATCATGACTTTTCTTTCTTTCTTTCTTTCTTTTCTTGACACTTTGTTGTAACAATTCGTCTGTGTTTGGAATTTTTTTTTCTTCTTTGTGGTTTTCAGCCTCACGACTTGTGTGTATCTGTTTATGCAACTTCTCAAGCTGACAACGCAAGAGGCTTCAGAAGATCCTATGTACTATTTGCTACTGCGAGATTCGATCAAGTATGTGGTTTTCATTTCATTAATTTGTTTCTGTGTTGTGAGTTCAGCTTACTTTAATTGGTAGTAACCAATGATTAAAGTAATGATACTATGATTTCATTCAAACCTGTAGCTGCTCGCAAAATGTCCATGAGAAAATCATATCTGCTGAATTTTTTTTTTTTTTATGTTAACATTTGATGGCTTCTTTAAACTGTAATTTCCTGAGCGCATGATCGCATAATGTGTTCTTGTTAGGGATGGAGTGGGTCTCAGAGACAAGAAATCCCTTGTCGTCACTGCAAGATTTGTGTTTGGTGCCTTAGGATGTGTGATGTTAGGAGCTTTGATTTACACTTGTTTGACTGATGGTTCTCCTTTCCGCATGGAGCTTCTATACCCGTGAGTTTTTTTTTATTTCCTTTCTTTATTTTGTTTTGCATTGTTTTTGTTATTTGAATCATTTGACACAGTCTTCAATCTGTGGATTCTGTCCTTGGCGTTTCTTATTTATCCGCTAACTATTACACAGGTGGATGGTGGTTTTACTGGTTAACTTCTACATTAATGTTGCGGTTTTGTCAGTAAGTCTCAAAACTTCTCACTGCATCAAAACACTCAAGTCTCCTTTTGGTTTGCTACAAAACTCAGTTTTGAACTCTCTAGACTAGTGCTTTGGATGGTGATTAATACTATGCTGTATGAACTAGATGGTCATGAGATCGTAGTGTAATACTCTGCATTAACCGGGTTTTTACATATTTTGCTCTTCCATGAGTCATTTGCTCTATTTTATATTTCAGGTTTGGGTTGTCTATAAAGAATCTAGCTGGGTCATTGGAATTCTCTGGGTTGCTCTCTTACTATCTCTTGGCAGGTACAATTTATTTCAAAGTTTTAACTCTTTTTACGGATCCATTCATCACCTAATTAAGAGGATTTTTCATTCATATTTTTTAAAAAAAATTCTCAGCTTTGGCACGAGCGTAGTCATTGTAGTTCAGCTATGCCGTCTCTCTCCTCTTGATCCGCTATACCTTGTTCTGGTGAACAACAGCAATAGGTAAGCTCGGAATATGCACAAACTCTTTTTCTTTTATAAGATCTCAGAATACGTCATCTAAGAAGCTAGGTTATAGATGATACTCAAAGCAGCTTTTCAACATAGTCTTATAATTTGTTTGATCTATTGGGTGGAGGAAGCAAAGAAAAAACTAAGGGCTAAGTTAGTGAACTCTCGTGGGTCATGGCAGGGCTGGAGATATGTATGAGCGCACTCATTCTGCGGTTTTGCGTATGTGAAGCATTGTGATTTCATTTTTACCACAAAACATTTCTTTATCCATTACAAGTTTGTATGTTGCTTATCTTCTCGAAATATTTGGATACATTCTTCTGTATATAATAGTATCTTTTAGGACTCCTAAGCATGTGACAACAGTATGCAGCTAGCCTCTTACATCCTTTGTCGACATGCATGATGCAGTTACTGTGTAATAAACTTCTCTTTCAATCAAACATTTGGGTCACCATGAATCAATCTTACGAGAGATGGCTCTTTCGTAATTTGTGACTAGTAAATATAAATTTTGTGCAACTCAAATGTTTCATACAGTTGAAGAGAGATAAATAGAATCTCCTAGCAATATTTCTGAGAATGGATCATCATAATTGAACTCGTTTATTCTAACATGTGAGGAACTTAATATAGTTTATAATCCATGATTTGGTCAAAATGTCCAAAAGTAGTTTAATATAGTCATGACCAAATCAACTGTCGCTAGCTCTTTGCTCCAATCCAAATTTAATCAAAACTGAAAAATTCACATATCACTCATCAGTCATCACTATTAATGCATAAAAGCTAGCTTCAGCTATTCGTGACTTTTCAACATAATTTGTTCAAGAAAAAATGAATTTATTATGGTTACAGTAGAGCGATATATATATATACTGATGCGAATCCAAACGTGGGTGTGTACAATAATGACTTTATTCGAATGTGTCCTACTCGAATTTTGTGGTTTGTATTCAACATGCATCATTTCAGTTATATGCACACACAGACTTCTTTTCTTTTCTTTTTATGGTTTTTATAATTGGAACAAGCAATTCAATGATCGTAACATTCATTTCATAAATAAATGTTCGATATGACGTTCGTTAATTATAATAGTTTATGTTGATCGAATATTCTCTGAAATGTAGTGAATTAAACAAATATTAGCTGAGACTTCTTATTAATTTTTTTTGTTTTGTTTTTGTTTTGTTTTTTCATGTGAGATGGTACATGAATCATGAAGTGTTGAAATGGAACAATCTCTGTCTGTTCATGTGAAAGTCGACATCAGTGTTCTAAACCATATGGCTTTTACCACATAAAGAAATGATTGAATAAAGAAGAGAGTGAGTGGGGGTTGATACGTGTCACCGTCCAAATGTGGCTGACCCTTCTAATTGGAGCTACACCAGCCGGCCTTTGCCTCATCATTTGTTGACTTCACACTCACACTTTTACATATTTTAATTAACATACAATACACTGTTCATTCTAGATTGTTCCATCCCTTTCTTTTTCTATTTGATATTTAATTTGAAACGTAAGACTATTTATCAACTTAGTGAATGAATATGTTTTTTTTCTTCTTCTTAAATTCCGACAGAATTTTCCAACATATTTGTTCACTAGACATTTTTAATGGTATTTAGTTGGATCAAAATTAATATTTTGTCGAAATCCGGTGAAATAATTAAGATATATTGGTAATTTATTTAAAAAGAAATCTTTAATATCATCTAAAGTTATCAAGGGATTGGTTTTGGGGAAATTCTAATTTCTTTCTGAATTTTATTTAATTTTCAAAAATACATCAAAACATTTACTATCAATTTTTCTGATAGTCATTTATATGTTTAATATTTTTGTTTATTATTATTGATTCATGTCACATTTCTGCTGTGACAAAATTGTATTGTATGATAAAGGGGCATGTAATGCATATCTTAGCTCAGTAACCACAATAGAACCGATATTGGGTTATAACTTGATCATCAAATATATAAAACGAGATGTAGTAAAAAAAAAGGAAATGTCTACCGTTTAGGAAAATACAACTTTTTAAAAAGCAATTGAATTTTATAAAAAATTCCTCCACCATAGAATCACTTTAATGAAAGATTGTTATAAAATGATATAATAACCACAAAAGTAGGCACACTACCTTTTTTTAAAATTGAATACTCTTTCTATTATCAAGAACAAACCATATTTTTTTTTTTTAATTACACTTAAAAAAGACGTTAAGTTTTTTACTTTTTTCAAAGTTTTAGAGATAAATTATATTTACTTCAAAAGTAATTACCGTGCTGAATAAGTAGGAAAAAACTGATGGTTTTCAATTAAATTACAATTATTATCGGCCCAATCTCCACGTATGTTTGAGCCCATCCCATACATGAAAGCATGACCATGAAAAGCCCACAGTGATTTCATCTCTAAGACACGACGAATCGTATGGAGATTACTACAATATATTGCTCGCATCTAGTTGCGCCACGTCTTTGTTTGGCGGAAGATCAACGTCCATATATCTCTTGCTCCACTCCGATTGGTACACGGCATCTAGTTGCGCCACGTCTTTGTTTGGAGTACTTGTTTATGTGGTTGGGCGGACAAGTGGGAAGAAGTAAAAATATCCTAAAGGAGAGTGGGACCCATTTAGATATTTTCAACGGGCTGTCTTCACAAAAGCTGCCCGTTAATTCCACAGCCATCGGACGGCTCGAAACTCTTTCGGTCAAGCTGCCCGAAAATTCGTTAAGGAATTTGTGGGTGGGACTCACTCACCTCTGAAATCAACGGTTGAAATTTGACGGTGTACGAAACACCTCGTCGCATTTTAACATAGCTCCTCACAAAATATCTGCGAACACATGTCACTAGTTTTGTAGAACTAATATAACTATTAGGAGGCAATCACACGAGAGCTAGTTAAATTAATGAAAAGGAAAAAATAGAATCATGAACAACAAAACCTTTAAGATAATTTGTGATTAAGTTATTCAAATAAATACTTTGCCAATATGACCATATTGTGAATGCAGAGTTTTTTCTTCTTTCAAAAACATTAAAAAATGAGCTTATTTATCTATCATCTAGTGTTTCTATACACAAAATATGTGGTAAGTAAATAAATAAATTGATGCTTCAGCAAAGATAATTTGAAATAAACAGAATTTTGAAGTAAGCTGAGTTCTACAATCATATTTTGTGATTTCCTACAGCGAAAATCTATGTAAGATTACAAATTAAGTTGGTTAATTATTTGAGAATAATAAAGAAAATAACTGTGTGTATGTGACATGATGATGATGATGGTATGGCGATGGACATGGACGATGAGATCTAAATGGCGCATAAGTCCGTGGCAAAGCCAGGAAATATCGATGCCACGTCAGGCGGAAATCTTAAACCGAGTGGAGAAGCCTCTCAAATCTCTTTCTCTCTCCCCCTTCACCTCCAAAAGCCACAATCTCTTGTGTATCCTCTAGAATCATTTTTGATATTCTCTTCTTCTTCTTCTTCTACATCTTTTCCACTGATATTCTTCCATCGATTTTTAGCTCTCAAAAATTTCCAGAAAGCTAAAGGCAAAGCAGAGGGAGAATTAATCAGCAATCGCATAGGAATATTCCTGCAGGTCGTGTTTGGTTTCCTTCCATTTTCTCATGCTTTTGTTGATTCTCAGATGATTTGATGTTGAGATTATGTTTGGTAAATCTAATCTTGATGATGGATGAATTTTCCTCAATTTCGGACTCAATTCTTTTGGGGTTTTTTCCCTTTACTGGTTTCTACTTGCATTTTCTCAGCATAGATTTCTCTCTTTGTTGGTTTAAAACTTGTGTACCACATCTCGTCTGATTGAGAATCTTCTCCTCTTATTTGTATCTACAGGAAGGAGCGATTATCAGTTTACCAGACTGTATTAGGATCACCTACGCGATAGAGTGTTAACTACACGGATTTAGCGTTTTTTCTTCTTCTTCAGCTTCGATTTACTGTACAGTGTGTTGGTAGGTCAAGGACTAATCTGGGGATGTGTTGTTCTTGCCGGCGAATGTTAAACTACGACCTACTGATTCTCGATTGGTAAAAAGGGGTTTAGAGATTTTGCATCTCTCGTGGAGAATTTCTTCAGTTGGTGTTAAAATTGTAACCATTCTAGTGGTTTAGTTTTCGGATCCTAGTTTAATTTTGGATGGCTACTTCATCTGAGAGGTGGATCGATGGTCTTCAGTTCTCATCCTTGTTATGGCCTCCGCCACGAGACCCTCAACAACATAAGGTACATAAGACTCCATGAACCGGAAAGTTATGCTCCCTGATACGTGTGCCTCACTGTGATTACTGATTGTGTTCTCCGGTTTTCCTAGGATCAAGTCGTTGCCTATGTCGAATACTTTGGTCAATTCACATCAGAGCAATTCCCTGATGACATTGCTGAGGTACTTGTTGTGTTATGCACAATGATTTTCTTGGTACTGATAGTGCTGTTAAGAGTATTTTTCCCAGTAGTGACGTTTTACTGATTTATCAAATATGTGTATCAGTTGGTCCGCCATCAGTATCCGTCAACTGAGAAGCGACTTTTGGATGATGTGCTGGGTATGAACTTCTCTATCAACACTTGTCATGCTATATCTGCACTTCGTTATTGTGAATCTGATATTTTCGTTTGCTGATGAACAGCAATGTTTGTCCTTCATCATCCGGAGCATGGTCATGCAGTAATTCTCCCAATGATTTCATGTCTCATTGATGGCTCTCTGGTGTACAGCAAGGAAGCTCATCCCTTTGCTTCTTTCATATCTTTAGTTTGCCCTAGTAGCGAGGTATATAGTTTCCCAACAATTTTAGCTAAGACTATATTCCGCTTAGTAATTGGTTGTGAAGCTCCTATACCATTTTAGTGCTGACATGTTTACAATCTTAACAGAATGACTATTCAGAGCAATGGGCTTTGGCGTGCGGAGAAATCCTTCGTATTTTGACTCATTACAATCGTCCTATATATAAGACTGAGCAGCAAAATGGAGAAACAGAGATAAATTGTCTGAGCAAAGCTACAACTAGTGGTTCTGCGCTTTCAGAGCCTAAGGCTGTATCACCAGTACAGCATGAAAGGAAACCGTTAAGGCCTTTGTCTCCATGGATCAGTGATATATTACTTGCTGCTCCCTTGGGTATAAGAAGTGACTACTTCCGTTGGTAAGTTTATTGTGTTACGGACGCTTCTATGTCTTCATCCGCTGGCCTCGTTCTTTTTTTTTTTTGGTTCTTGAGGACTCTGGACTGAGGTTCTGTAGTGTGCTTTAGCTTACTTGCAACTAAAAAATGTTGCTCATATATACAGGTGTAGTGGTGTAATGGGTAAATATGCTGCTGGAGAGCTCAAGCCGCCAACCATTGGTGAGTTTAAATATTACGTGTTAGTATCCTCTCGGAACCAG